AGTTCCTCTAGGTGTTTAGTCTTGCCTCTGAGAATAGTTTTCTTTGCACATCTGATCATAATATTCGTGATATCATTGCAACGTTTGTCAGGATGTTGGTTGAATTTGAGGGGACTTATGTGAAGTTCATTGTCTAAAAGGCTTGTGAATCTAGACCAGGAAGCTTAAAATTTATATTTGACATATTTTTATCAAGTGGCAGGCTTTAGGTTTAGGTAGTTATCATTAGCTCTTTGGTTGACCTCAGGCTTCACAGAGGGGAAGGATCATCATAGTCACAAAAAGTGGAGAGGAGGAACAGAAGAGTGATTCACTGATGTAAAGGAGATAAACCGATGCAAAGGTTGAGAAAAAGGTAAGATGAGTACTGCGGTGTGGTTGAATATGTCATGCAGTCGGGTCGTGGTAGTTTGAAGTCAAAAGTGAACTCCCGATTAATTGACATTTCGCGTATGAGTATACGTTGCTCAGGTTGCACCACATGGAGATAAGTCTATCGCGCACCTACACATTTGCAATATATTTAACCCCCAGTTTCACATTATACTACACTGCTAAAATAGGAAGTCGACAAACTGATTTCAACTTAGCATTTCCACTGCAAAATTTGCCATTTATGCAATCCGGTCCCTTGCCAATAGTGGCGATACAACGGCGAACGCATGAAGTAGTTCAGATTTTTTGTGAAAATAATCGGCTCTTTGTAGTGCGCTACTTCTTTCAGGAACTAGATAAATGCCGATGTGCCGTTGCGAATTTTAGTTCCAGGTAACTTGAAGTGCTCTTTCAAATGAAAAATAACTTTCAAGATGGAAAATAGATATTAGTGTTAAGACAACTGCAGCAATAGAAGTTCAACCTCTAATGTTATCCTCTTTTAGAGATGACTATATGGCATTCTCCCTTGCGCTCTATGTGCACATTGGCACAGTTCAAATGTAGAGTGATATATTCCCCCTCCTGTTTATTTAGTGATATGATAATTTGAGTAGTGAAATATTAAACATTTTGTAGTTGTGGCATTGGTTTTAACTCGCCTATGCTAATTACGTTAGTGGGGACGAGTGACCTTTGCCCTTGGCCTTTACAACCGCATTACTAAGTAGCTTACTGGTCTTGCAGATAATTTAAACTACGCACTTAATGGCAATATGTGGAAAGTGAATTCAAATCTTCAAAAGTCTCATAATCTCAGAAATTCGCTCCTTTAGAAGTAGAGTTATTGAAATGATATACCTCCGTTTTGGCAATCTAGTTTGTCACAGCAGTATTGTCGGATGCTCGCAATGACAGGCTATGATTATAAATACTAGGATCCAGTAGAAAACAGAGTGTACAGGAGACCTTTAAAATCACTGAAGACGTACATTTTCGTTGATGGTAAATTAGCCACCATGCCCATATGCTGTGGCCAAGGTCACACTTTCGATTTCCACTGTAACGCACTCAGTGGCTAAGTGTGGCAGAATTTGAGCCTAACATCAACGAGAGCATATAATGCTATTTCGTTTTCAAATACTCCTTGGTAGGATGTTTTCTGGGTGAATTTAGAATTTTATCTGCATGCTTAAACTAAGAATGAACTTATTACCGAATTAGCCGATTGCAGTAACATTTGAGGAAGTTGTGTTTAGTGAAAAATAAAAAAATCATAATTCAGTGAGCCTCAAAAGGGTGAATCAACTTTTTTTCTCTCTCCTATAACTAATTTAACAAAATTTTGAGAAGTCATTCCTGCTGAACTTTTAACATTAACTGGGCTTTAACCAGTCTTTCTGATGACTAAGCTTTATTGGATAACGAGTATAAGTACCGTAAATTCGTGTTGTTATTCAACCTTTCACTTAATTAATTATACTTCTTGCCGTCTCTTCTTCTCTGTTACTCATGTCTCTTTCCCACATTGAGGCGAATTGTTAAGGTCACTCCTCAAATAACTGGTTATCGATTTTTTTGACCTTACACTCAGGCTCAGTTGGGTAAAACCGCAACTGAAGAAACTAACGATGCCAATATTGGTCAAGCAATTAATTATCCCATATCCCATTCTCTAAAAGTACATTTATTTTCTTAGGGGTTAATTGTTATTTGAGCAGTATATTCTAAGTGGTTATAGCTCTACAAATTTGGCAACCAAGTGCATTTCAAATATTCACTTATTGATATAATAAAGGTAAATGACCTTTTAAAGGTTATTTTTGAAATAATGAAATTGCAGGATTCAAAATAGGTGTCTTGCAAATTACTGAACAAGACTAACTTAATTAGTTTTGGTGAAGAAACTTGTCCACTTTCAATGTGTGTTTACCTGAACGACTTTGAACCATTCCAGGTAGTCATTTCTGTATCTGATAGATATTGCAAGACAATAATTGATTCTTACCACATAATGGAAACTTATAAAGTTAAGAAATACTTTAATTGGAAATTGTGATCTAGTATGACAGAACATTTTTAGATCCACCCACTATCAGACAGGTTTATTAACTCGCATAAAGTGAAAGCAATAGATGACTATGACCATTTGGTGGGTGTGAATCACGTGATGGAATAACCTTGAACACGTCTGTCGGAATCACTTCTAAAGGGCATGAGTAATTTGAAAACTTTGAATCTAATAGCCAAACACACTTTTGAGTACATTTTTTTGTTGGTTTTTTTGACTTGTGATCATTCAATCAGTTTGGTTAGATTTGAGACTACGTAGAAAGTTGCTTATTTGTACTTGCAACACCCTTCTCGAAATCACACATTTTGCGAAGCAGTTCTAGAACACTTAACAATTAATTACTGAATCACACTGAGGTAAATTCTGAGGCAGTAATTTTATTCATTCCAAAATGGTATTCTGGTGCCCAGATACATTAATTAAAGAAATTCCAATAATTATTCAGATTCAACCAGTTTGGCTTGAAATTAAACAAAACGGAAATTCGATACAGTTGTAGTTTAAGCAATAATTCTCTCTCTATTTTCAATCCAACGAATCGACTGGAATATTTGTAATTCCTACTGATTCCCTCTTCTGTTTTTGTTCTTTTTTTATTTATAATTTTTGCTTATTTAAGACTCATCATTAATTATTTGGTTAAGCAAAAGAGGAACACCGCGAGCAACGGACACATCCTCGAGTAAGTAGGCTTGCCAGCGAGAAGAGAAGCTATCAGAGCGTGGTTTCGCCCCACGGACCTCTGGGTTATGGACCCAGCATGCATCCACTACGCCACTCTGCTGTCGAACCCGTGTTGGGCTTGAGACGACCTAGTGATTAACTCATCTCCCTCCAACTCGCCATGCCGGTGGGGACTGCGTGGATGGGCACAGAGGGAGAGAGATGGGAGAGTAGTAGTGTGATTGAGGTAGGAAGAGTTGAAGGAGGGTGATGAGTGAGACGAGGACGAGGAGTGAAGTGAAAAGGATATTTGGAAGAGGTGTGAGTGAACGATGGGAGGGGCTTGAGTAAGGGTAGTGAAGTAGATAGAGGTGGCCATGTGGGTAGGTGAAAAGATGACAGTGGGAGCATGTGCCTGATGGCCTGACGGTTAGGACTTCTGGTTTCCACCAAGGCAGCCGGGGTTTAACTCTCGGTCAAGGAGAGGAGATTTGGCCGTTCTTAAGTTAGTTAACAAGCTTAGAATCAGGGTTAACATTTTAAAATATCAAGTGGTTTCGATTTGGAACACTATCGGTACTTTTGACTGGTCAAATTTGGCTAAGTTATTGCGGAAATGTCTAAAACATCTTCCATTTTGTTATCTATTGTAATTTCATCTCTACATAATTTGTTAAATATGTGCATTGAAGTAAATGAAACTTGGAAGTGAATGCTTCATAATGTGACAACCACTCACGAGCCTTATCTAAGTCACATAAATTGAATGGTCAGAAATTAAACTGGGTTAATCTAAAATTTTGCTAAATAGTTTAACTATCGCTCAGAATTTTAATTCACGTGGGGTGTGAGATAAATTTGCACAGTCCAAATCCAAAATCTACGCACAATTCTTCAAGCCCCGCACTGTGTTGGACTTTTTATATATTTTTTCTCTTCTTGACTGCTATTTTTCCATAGACTAAGAAGCCTATTTGACAGCGCAAATCTCAGATTATATCTGACTGATTTAAAATGGGGGGGGGATTAATAATGCTTTTGAAGGTTTTGATTTCAAGGTATTGTGAAACTAGCACCTGGTAGGGGTTTCCGTTAATCTCAATCAAAGTGCATTGGAGATAAAAATTTGTAAGAACTTTTAGAGATTGTGGACTTTACAATGACATTACTGCAAAGTTCATAAATAGCTATTTTGATACAATAAAACTTTTTATACTCTTCCAATTATCATAAGTCTGGCTACCCATTTGGATTCGGCGCACTTTCTAAATGACGTTGAACTATTGATTTTCACCATAATAAATTTAATTCAACCAGGGCAAAATGATGTTATTGAAAAAATCAAAGGCATTTATGATAAGTGAAGATAGAATTAACGAGAAAGTAAACTAATTTACACCAATTATCACTGCACTTAAAAGTGAAACAAAAGTGAAGTAATTATGAGTGGTTGAAAAGAAATCAAACGAACTTAAGATATGCTGTCTGCTTCTACTAAGTCCAGACATTATTTATTTATTTATATCAAATGGCAGGCGTCTTGATGGTTATCATTTGCCCTTTAGTTGACTTCAGACTTCATAGAGGGGAAGGAACATCACATAGAAAAAAGTCGAGAGAGGTGAACAGAAGAGTGTTTCAAAGATGCAAGAGACAAACACAAAGGTAGAAAAAAGGTGAGGTGAGTACTTTGGAAGTAGTCGAATATGACATAAAGTGAGGTGATGGTAGTTTGAAGTGAGAAGCCAACTGCCAGTTAATAGACTTTTTTTGCCGTATGAGTATACGTTGCTCAGGGTGCCCCACGTGGAGGTAAGTCTATCGCACACCCCAAGTCCAGACATTACACAAAGGATCATTCGCATTGACGTCTTTTTCCTTTAGTTTCATCAAGGTAGTTCACTTCGCAAATAAATTCCTATTTTATCGCATTGCAACCTTATTCTTTGTGCCTTCCTGAAACAGGTATCCACGAAATGTTTAGAATCTCTCACATTAATGCACATAATCCGCACTTAGCCCTGAATTGCGCATTTAGAGTAACAGAATCCCACACATATCGAGACATGGCTACCTCAGAGTAATTTAAAGGTGACCTTATTTTGACTGAAAATTGACCTTTTGGATTTTAACTGGTACAAGAGTTTTGGCTTAGGATTTTATCTCCAACATCACACCTATCAATTAGTGGATATTTTATATGGTATGAGGTAAGCTAACCAGTAGTTCGAGTAAGGTTATTGATATCTCGTTACTGAAGTAAATGCCCGATTCGTCCCAAAAGCTAAAAATAATCATAAAGCAAATCTCATGGTCACTGCTTCTATAATAGAGCTCCGGTCGATTTAATACGTAGGTATTGCACGTTTTTTGTATTTAAAAAAGTAGGATTTTACACCCAAAACCCATGTATATCAAAGCACTAACATCCTTTTACCCACTTCTATACGCAGGAATGCGAATCATTAATTATGGAACAAGTTGAGCGTATGCGTGTATAGCTGACCGGCCATTAATCTTAAACCCACCAGGACAAAACAAAGAAACGCCAAAGGACAGGATGAATCATCTATGAGATTTAGGCCAAAGGCACAAGTGAGCCCCGTTCGCAAATCTTTCAATGCGATATTTAATTACACAAAGCGCTTTAGCAAGAAAAGTTAGCTTCGAATTTACGATTCCTCTTTCTTAAAATTATGGAAGGCGTAGGGAAATTAAAGACGTAAAATGTTATGAGAATAATCGTAATGAGAATTTACGCAATTTTAATTGCTCGAAGCAAAAGAAATCGGTTTCTCCTTCCAGCTGGGAATACGTTCCCACACAGTAAAGTCGTGTTTGTTAAACTATGAGCACCCATTGCCGAATATTTGGAGTGAACTTTATCATTTAAAAAATTGGGCCTAATTAATCCTTTCAGTTGCTAAAGGAAATTCACAAAGCAAATCAAATCATAGTTGCGCACGATTGTACTAGTTTCCTATAAAACTTTCTTATCACATACACTGCTTAATTCTTAAAGAGAAATCGAAGTATTGGGTTTAATTTCATAGGAAATATCCTTATGGGGGGAGGGGTTTACAGAAGTAATCAAATTGTTGAAGTTGTTGACTTGGTATCAAATAGAGGGGTTTAGAGATTCTACTTTTTAACTCATCTCAGTAGTACTGAACTAATTAATAATTTCCCTTAGATAATTGAAAAATAATATAAGGCCAAAGTGATGGAACCTTGCAAGAACGTACTCTTCTGTGGAGGATATGCAAAGGACAATTTCAGGCCTTTTTACTAATTTGCTGTCAACTTAACATTCTTAAAATCAGTGAAATACGCTAGCTCTGCCGACATGAACACTATAAGTTTGCGAAAATTGCAAGGAATAATTCCTAATCTTACAAAGTGACCTGTTGTGTTCGTTGAAAATAGTGTACTGCAAAAAAATCAATAGTTTATCGATTCTTCATCTCATTCGCGAAGGCAGTATATTATTTCAACTAAACAACTTCATGAACTATTGATGATTTTTACAAGTTAAAAGAATTGACTTCAAATTAAAAACCTAAACATTAAGTAAGAACTACTCTGTCAGATTTTAAATCTTATAATAATTTAGAGTTGACTTAGACTTATTTTGTAAAAAAATGGAGATGATAACAATCATGCTACTTAAACATAAATGGCACATTTAAGTAGCACGAAACATATAAGTAACTTCAAACGGAAACTCAGTGAATAAGCAGCGAACAAATAACTTCCTCGAAACCCGTACGTGAAGGAGGAAACTGAAGGAATAAAAGTGATAAATTAGGATTTTATACGACAATGAAAATGGAAACAAGACCAATCTGTTTAATACTGATATCACCTAAATCAAAAGAACGAAGAGGAGCTTGCATACGAATTTCTGCGTAACCAGGTAAGGACCGCCCTAAAATTCGACTTTGAGAAGAAGTAATCATTCAAGCTTCATGTTTCCAATTTCATCACTATAATATCAAGAGGCTAATAACATTTGTTTCGACTATACTATTTAGTGACGATTATACTAATCCAACCAAGGACACCTCCAACAGATCGGTATTTCTACTGATGATAAACAGGGCCTCCTTTTAACAAAAACCAAACAAGAAGTTCAGGGATGTTAATGAAAGAATTATCAATTAATAATACGAGGGTCAGAAATAACCAATTAAGAGGCAATCTTTTTCTTAGACATAAAATGTATGCATTATTGATACAAGTTACACGAAATTGTGAAATGTCACCATGGTTTGATGGAAAAGGGGGAGGAGTGAGAGTACAAGAACATGAATAGAAAGGTAGATAAGCATGAACAGGATGATAAACTTGGGGGAGTGTATTACATTAATATGTATAAACAGGATGACGCAAAAATGATTCAATTACGTGATAAAGGAGAGAAAAGTTTATTTACACAAAGAGTGACAGGATAAAAGAGGGAGACAAAGAAATCAGTTACTTTCTCCAAAATCTCAACGTTTCTTCATACAAGATGGACAGAAGTACTTTTCAACATTCGCCTCATTTGCAGTTAAACTAAGACAAATTTGATGATACCACTTGGTGCATTTGTCGCATTGAATCCAATCGATAGAGGGACCAGTAGGCTTCTTGCAGACCCTCGCAGAACATTCCTCTTGGTCATCTTCTCCTGTCGCGTGATGGACTTCCTCATTCACCGGAGACCCCACATCATCATCCATTGAATCTTCGTCATTCGAAGCCTTTCCACGGGACTTCTTTGAAGATAAGTGGTGAGCTTTCGATTTTTTCACCGGTGGGGGAGATGCGGTATGACGTTTGGAGCCGTTACTTTTCGAAACAGGAGTTTTTCTTGAACTGGTAGTTGGTGCCGAAGTAGGAACAGACTTGCGTTTTGCAAGACGATCCATCAAATCTTCGTCACTTTCCTCTTCCTCCTGATCCGATTTCATACCCTCATCTTCGCTCTTAATATGACGACTGGGAGTGGTCTTGGCAACGCCCCTCTTGAGATCATGACTACTACCAGTAGGAGATCTATTCGGGCGCTTATTACTGGCCAATCGGTCTGAATGAGTATCAGGAGCCTTTGCAATGGCAGTTGCTACCTGTTTAGTAGGTCCTACAAATGCCTATGAGTAAAACGAAGTTAGTCCAATTCGAACAACTACGACAAAAATAAAAGTTAAAGGATGACTTGCTTGGTATTTAAGGTCGGAAAAAAAAGGAACCACTCCATCACCAGGCTTAAGGTTTGCTCCGTTAAGATGACCGAAGCATACAATATCACCGTTTTTAAGTGTGACACCACCTGATACTCGAACGTAATTGACGTAAGTTCCATTCATACTGTGATCGTAGAGCATGAAACCACCATCAGGTAAGCGTTCAATTGTTGCATGATTGCGGGAAATCATCCGCTTATTGATGCAACTTTCAATAACGTAGTTTGGAGGATTCGTTGAGTTTAGGCGCCCAATCCTGATTTCCTTCTGATCTTCTTTCAGCTCGATATATTTTGGACGCAAACGTTCATCAGATAACTTCATAGAGGTGCCGGCCATCCGCTTATCCTTATCCAAGTCTCCAATCCACATCAATGTTACGGAAGTCATTTTAAAAATTTACGAATCTAATATGCACTGAAAAGTGACACGAGCACGAATGACCTGATAAAAAACTCCCACCAAAATCCAATATTGAACTATCTACAAAATTGGCGGTTATGAAAATTTTCCAGTGAATTCAATAAAAGTTTGAAATTGAAATCGACTTCCACTACTAGAAGTAATCAAAGTAAGATAAAGCACAATCTTGAGAGCCAAGACACAGAGTTGTGATTAATTAATTTAGATATAAATATTTTCTTTATTAGTCTTGATGGCAAAAACTTTCCATTTTTTTTTAATTTGCATTTTTTTTAAAATCAATTCGTTGTTGGAAAAAGAGGTCTTAAAAGTAAGATACATTGTTAAGAATTTACAGAATATTGTATGGCTTCGGTTCTCCATTTGATTTTAGTCAATTAATAAATAAATATTATCTATTCCCTAGATGCTTATTTAATGCGCTCATTGACCATTCAATTTATTCAAGGCATACAATTAAAAGATCTCTAGAGTAATAATGACGATACACACCAAATCTAACATAAATATTCGAGCCGCTTTTCCCCATATCGATTTGTTCATAATTTCTGTAATTTAAATGTCTATTTTGATTATTTTGACAATCAGTTAGACGACATTATTCTTGGAGAAGAATGTATTGTAGAATGGCGAAGATTATAAATTTTGGAAAAAATATATAATTTTATTATTTTATTGTCTAAATAAAGGTGACAATGCATTAAATTGATTACATCAAATAGAATGCCAAATCTAGCATCAAGGAGGAAATACTAGGATGACATTCAGTCTTCTCCTGCTTATTGAATTTTGAATTCATCCTAAAGGCATTCATTGAGGTGTCTAGTGACATCGGTTGGAGTCACACTGTGGCCCCAAAAGAGGCGCATTAGTATGCATTTCATTTTCCATATTAGTGTAAAAGAAGCAAAAATAGTTTTAAAGGATAATTTAGGATAAATTAATTCCCGTAGTGTTCCTATATTGATACTGACTGATGTTCATCCAGTAAATGGCTTTGCAGACTATTCTGAAATCAATCAAGTTGAACTCTAATCTGAGTGATATAAATCAATCGCCTAATCCGTTTCCTGTTTGAATGCTATGGCGCATCCATATTTTGACGCCAATATGAGACGCCGTTCTATACCTGAGGTGCAAAATAGGTATTGAATCTCTTACATTGGTTCTTATTTTACGCACTCTTAGTAAGAAGCCCATCCAAGATATTCAGATTAAGCGGAGATTGTAAAGAGAAATTGTTGGATCACGAGAATAGTCCTCAAGTAGAATAAACCCGAATAGAGTAGAAGTTCTCAGTGCATCTTTTCATGCCTTAAGTGGTGAATAGATGTCGGAGGTTTCCAAGGTCTGTACTTGCTGTGGTAGACTTAATCGATATGACCTCAGTGTACTTAGTAAAAGAATATGCCTGCAACAAATGAGAGAATTCTTGGGTAGATTAAGCGAGATTAAGATCAATGTAAGATCGAGGAATGTTAGTTTGTGAACACATAATGATGGTAAGAAAGTTCGGTCTTGCCCGGGTTTTGTTCAATCAATTTTGGTGCTGTTCCATTGATGTGAGGAAAGAGTCAAGTAATACAGGTTCGTTGGAATAATAATTTACCAGTTTCGTAAGCTCTGATTTTGCTCAAATGTGGTCATTATGATCAGACAGCATAAGTTCCATGGAGGCCAGAACTATAAGAAACCCGATATAATTGATTTGTCTGGTGATCAATGTGAGCGAATTTTAGATTTGATTGCTGCTTGTGTATGGCAGAATTTTGGAGAAAAAGTGGTAGTTGATCTGGTATAAATATCAGAAAATATTTGGACATCTTGTGCAGGAGAAGAAAAAATTATTTCTGTGGGAAAAATAATAGACTTCACTCTCGGAATTGTAATATCGTCAGAGATGAGAAAGGAAATGTTGAAGTGATTTGTTTGAGGCTATTAACCTCTGAACTCCATGCCAATGCGGTATCTAGCGGATTTCCTTAGTTTACTTATCAATATGTGAATTATTGAAAATAATGTTGAGTTACTTTTTCTTGCTCATTAATTTGATTCAACTCCCTATCTTATGAAAAGCCATTGCATTTACTTTGTCATTAGGAAGCCTAGATAACTTCTAACAACAATTTGATTGGTCAAATGTCAGAGTCACCTCAGCTTCACTACTATGTCAAGTTCATGTAAACTGCGTTATAACAAGATGAATTGGCTTCCCAAACAGTGGAATTAGCTTAGTAAAACAGGCGTAGCGTATGCCATCAGTAAAGGCATATTGAGTAACCCGAAACAAAGTAATCAACTTAAGTAAGATTCTTTTGAGCTTTTACCAAACTGCAACTATCATTCCGAAACTCACACCTCCATAATTCACTGTAAACCGATTTCATTTGCTCTTGTAATAAAAATAGTTCATTTGTCCCCTTTATTCTCTTTTCATTTGCAAGTGATGATGATGATGATGATAAATCAAGAGTAACTTGTTAAATGCAAAAGTGCTAGAGACAACCGACATTTAAAAGGCTCTGAAATGTCTATCAGTTTTTAAACTGGTACCTCCTTGGCTTGTCGAGGAAAGAGAAAATTGACAAACTAAATAAAGGGCATAATTAAATTTAATATTAAAAATAGCTTAGTTTTCTGAATATTTATATCAATTGGCAAGTTAAAGGGTAGTTATCATTAGTCCTTTAGTTGACTTCGAGCTTCACAGAGGAGAGGAACATCAAAGTCACAAAAGTCGAGATGGGGAAGAGAAGAGTGGTTCACAGATGTAAAAGAGTCGAGAGACACAGAGATAGAGAAAAAAAGGTAAGAAGAGCATTGGGGATGTGGTCGAATATAACATGCAGTGGGGTCATGTTATTTTGCAGTCAACTGCCGGTTTACGGACTTTTCTGCCATATGAGTATACCTTGCCCAGGGTACACCACATGGAGGTGAGTCTACCGCTCACCCCTGTTCTGAATACTGACTTTAAGAGATTCCCGATTTAGCTCCTTAGTGGGACCGACATGTGTCAGTCTAATCTTTGCAGGTACATGAGGGAATGAAGTTTTTTTAAAAAAAATAATACACGAGGTAATAGGTAGTGAATTGTATGATTTAAGATCAAAATTTAAAATGTGACTATCATTATGCCCTAGTGGTCTAGATAAATATTATTCACTAAAGTATTTGTGGTCATTGCAAAAACACATATTTTATATTGGAAAATGATGGAAATTATAGTGAGTTATTGCATAATTAATTTCAGGATTTATTGAATACTCTATGAGTTAAATTACTGTTTTGTTTTCGTTTATAAAATATCTTTAGTTTGATTGGAATAGGAGTGTCAGTTATTTTTTAATATCTGAGGGTCTCCTAACGCCTGACTAACTCAGAAATCTCTATGGCAGATTCTCAAACATCCAGCTAGACTCCCAGAACTAGATAAGCCATAGGCCAGCTATAAAGGAAACAGACGTGTAGCACGGAGCACGTTTATTCAGGACGTATATTGCAGATCAAGTGTACACGCAGGAAGCTTAATCATGATCAGGATGGCGGATTAGGTTAAACAAACAGAGATTAATGATTGGCCACTGTTTGTACGGTCGCACATGCGATGATGTGTCCCACAGAGTAGAAGTGCCATGAGGCAATATTACCTTTAAATTAACGCATCCTGTCTTTGAGGAATTAGCATTTACTAAGAGCTTAATGCAAGCCTATCCAAATGATGGTTCTTTTGTTATTTATGAAACTAACCATTATTTACCATAGCTTTCAGATGCGGACTTTAGGACACTCAT